AAAAAAAAAAAAAAATGAAGTAGATATGGCCTAATTTTTCTATTATTATTTCTCCACATTATTCCATATCCAAGTCTAATAATTAGCCTTTTCTATGTTACAAGGATAATTCATAGAAGGGTTTGTACTATGATAATTGGGTTAGCCAATCTACTAATTCACATGTCACAACAACCTCACTTCTAAAATAATAAACATTATTTTGATCAATAAAAAACACTTTCTTGTACCCAAAATAAAAAATAAAAAATAATAAAAAAATAAATAAATAAAATCACTTTCAAGAATCCTTTGAAGATAAAAGAAACAACGTACGTGCGATCAAAACTCTTTGTCAGATAGAGAAAGGTTATACACTCCTCCTTAAAAAGTACTTAAAACAAATTTTATGAATCAACGGTCTGCACGTTTCCAAAATAGTTACGACACCGTGTACGCTAAATGTATCCTCGGGACCTCTATGTGACATCACTTTCAAATTTTCGGAATCTTTTTTACGCACATGTTCCATTGCTAATATATTGTGTTAAAACATCTATTTTCAAAAACTGGACACTTCTGTCCCAGGAATCTAACTTGAGCCAGAGTAAAAGAAAATGGAATTTTGGCCGGAGTTTTTTGCGAGCAGCTGTGTGAAAGAATTTGTTGCCGGAGGATTTGGAGGCACCGCCGGAGTTATTGCCGGTTATCCGCTGGACACGCTTAAGGTACAGCAGCAGCACCACAGCAGTGGGTCGGCTCTGCAGATCCTCCGCCGCCTTGTGGCCAGCAATGGGCTCCGAACTCTTTACCGGGGCATGGCTGCTCCTTTGGCTTCCGTAACATTCCAGGTTCTCTCCCTATGTGTGTGTGTCTGTGTTCAAATGTTCACACTTAGGAATGAAATGGATTTTAAATATATGTTTCAAAATTGGCTCAAGATATATCAAAGATCTTGGACAAATTGTTACAAAAACAAATTTTGTCATAACAAATATGAAACCAATGAAATCCCACCAGAATGCAATCGCTTTCCAAACCTACGCCACATTCTCACGAGCAACCGACCCACACAACCCGCCCTCCTTCAGAGGGGTGGCCTTAGGCGGCACAGGCACAGGCGCAGTACAGAGCCTCATCCTCTGTCCAGTCGAACTCGTTAAAATCCATCTGCAGCTACAACAACAGGAAGCTGCCCACATCCAAAGAGGCCCATTAGACGTGATGAGAACCATTTTCAAGACCCAAGGCCTTAGAGGCGTATACCGTGGATTGGCCATCACGCTTCTCAAGGAGGTCCCGAGCCACGGGGCCTACTTCTGGACGTATAAGTACACGAGGGAGAAGCTGCACCCGGGCTGCCGTAAAAATGGGCAAGAGACTTTCGGGACGATGCTCCTGGCCGGAGGGATGGCTGGGGTTGCCAGCTGGATGTGCTGTTATCCACTGGACGTGGTGAAGACGAGGATCCAGGCTGAGTGTGGGTCGTCAGCTGTGAAGTATGATGGGATTGCGGATTGTTTTAGGAAGAGTGTGAGGGAGGAAGGGCCCGGCGTGCTGTGGAGGGGTCTGGGGACAACGGTGGCTAGGGCGTTTATTGTCAATGGGGCTATTTTTACTGCCTACGAGACGGCCATGAGGTGCATTTGAAGAGTATCAAATTGTGTAGTAAGTTTCAATGTCAAACATCTTATCAGGCCTTCTGAAAATGATTGAATAACAATAACAATAATAATAATCATCATAATAATAATAATAAAAATAATAACAGTAATGCCTCGGCTAGCTTAGGGAGGTATCGAATATTCATATGTAGAACCGAATAGGCACTTCCAGTGCACAAACTTTTACTTTAATTACTGTTTAATAGCCAGAAGGACGGAAACAATGTAATCTTTAAAGAGTGAGCCAACCACGATTCCGTAGCCGTAAGGTGAATTTCATACCCTGTTGACTGGCCTTGACCCCCAGACACATCTCCTTCAGATGAAAAAAAAGGAAGTAAATCTTGCAGCACAGTAATAATTTGTCGTGCGTACATTGCAAGCTAGTTAGACAAGAAAAGAAATAAAGAGAGGAGAAAAATAAATGTGCCCAGTCGAAACATGGTTCTAGGCATTAACAACCGCGAATTATGATGTTCGGTTGTTTTTTGTCCATGTATTTAAGAAAAGAGCATGTTATCCTTAGAAATAACTTCTTCAAGAAATATGACAGCCGAAAGACAGATTAAAACCGGGCTGCAAAGAATGAAAATCTGATATTTGAAAGGAGTATACTTCTAGTAGGTTTACATGATATCCTCCACATTCTCCCATACCTTTCGACCTTTAGCCTGAGGATTGTCTAGGATACCAGACTTCTTGTCCAGTTAATACATGATTACACTATGTTTATTTCTCATACAGCACACCGGTTTATCATCACGAACTACCATCAGTGAGGAGCTGCTAAAATAATCATATACGTACATTGAACCTTCCCACGAAAAGGTTGCCACACCATAGACAACTTGAACACAGCAGAACATACAAATCACTGCTTTACTCTTGCAACATTATTGGGCTTCACGTTACCAGCTGCAAGGCTTTTCAGGACATTGCTCTCGTTCCAAGCGATGAGTTTTTCCCAAACCAACAATACAACACAAATGCGTAGAACACCAAAACCTGATTTTCCCATTAAACCAACAGTTAATCGGGTCCAGAAAAAGTTGTTTTCTCAATAAGATTCTCAAATCTATGCAAAGAAAAAACTTTTTAACTGAGACAAAAATATGGTCGGTTGAGAAGAAGCTTCGAACTTCGAAAGCATAACCGAAGAATACAATTAAAAAAATCAAGGCATCATAAACCATAAGCATTTATTAAGATACTAGTCTCTACATCGATACGGCTAAAAAAACAAAGGAATAACAATATTACAATATAGATGGACAAGATTTTGATCACGCAAAATCAATGTTCACCAATCAATACCCAATTTTCTAGTGATAAAAAGCTGAAGAATATACTTAACTACTGGGCCCGCGAAAGCTATGTAATTTTGAATCTGAATCTTGGCTTATGTTTCATCTTCATTCAACTTACCCAGCAGCTGGCCTTAGTAGGAAGGGCAACATTCCGGCAGCAACCGCCTTTATGATGGCCCACGCATGATAAGGAGAAAAAACCTGCACATAAGCTTTCGAGGCTGGGCCCTTGAGAGAATTTCCTTCTGAGGAAATAATGTGCTCGAACAGAACATTGAACATGACTATGCCGCGTTTGACTCCCAGGAGGTTCCTCGTGTGGCTTCCCGCCGTCCTCACGCAATTGGCCTCAATATCACCGTCGACCATCACCAGAAACACCGATATGGATTTCGAAGCCGCCTCTAGATCACGGACCTTAGCGACGCAATCGAGTTCGCAAGGTGATGCCTAGCATGGGCGGGAATTTCAAAACATGCTCGGGCTAAAAGTATGTCAAATTGTATATTAAAAGTTACTCTATTTAAGATATTTTTTTGCGTAGTACTTAAATATCTTTGGGAAATTTACATAAATAACCAACTCTTAAAAATCATTTACATAAAAACTCTGGTTTGGGAGAAGTCCAAAATTACCTTTATTCATTCCAAAACAATATAAATAGTTACAATGGTAAACAGTTACAATGGGAAGTTACATAAAATCTATATATACATATAAAAAGGTTTGATATTTACTTGAAATAGTAATAAAAATCCCGCCAAAA